GCCCACCCCCAAGGGCTGCAGGCTGAGCTGAGTTTTTGGCACTGGCATGATGTTTCTTAAGCTGGGTTAGTCAGGAAATGTGTAATGTCCCCGGGGAAGTGGGCTGTAAGGGCCCCAGGGATGTGGGCTGTAAGGGCCCCAGGGAAGTGGGGTGTCACGGTCTGGAGACAAGCCCTGGTGCTTCAGGGAACTGATGACGTTCGTGCCTTCAGGGGAATCAGAACCTCTTCCCTGATCCCATACTTGCCAGCCCAGGTTCGGTTCAGTAGTGGGAAATGCTAAACAAAAATGCAGTGTGTATCAGGTGTGATTCAGTTGCAAAGTACAGAATTCACTCACATTGGGAAGGCTGGAGAAACAGGTTAAGGTGGGATTTCAGAATGATTCCCAAAGCCACACTGTAGACCCAGGCTGCCTGGGAGCCTGCTGCCACAGCTTCTGTGCTCAGGACTTGGGAAGCTGGCACAAGCTACCAGTTCTAGAAGTAAGCGGCCCCTGCCACAATCAGGAAACTACCACTGCCCTGGTCAGGAAGTCACCACCACCAAGGTCAGGATGTCACCTCCATGGTCAGGATGCCACTGCCACAGTCAGAATGTCATCTCCATGGTCAAGGTGTCATCCCCACTGTCAGGATGTCACCACCATGGTTAGGAAATCACCCCAAGGTCAGGATGTCACCACCGCCACAATCAGGAAGCCACGCTGTACCTGCTGGGGTCTACACTGGCAAAATGGACACCCAGAAGCTAGTGGCTGGACGCTGGGACTCTGACCACAGCTTTGCTACCTGTGGAAACAACAGAAGCACAGCCTCTGCTTCAGTTCTGCCCTCTCACACATGCTTCTGACAGGAAGAACCAAAACTGTATTTGGCATCCTAGCTGCAAAGGAGCCTGGGGAAGGTTGCTGTTAGTTCTCCAGCCTCTTGGTACAGCAGGGCATCCAGCGGAGGCTGGTTGTCCAGACCACAGTGTGTAGTGAAAGTGGGTGATGGGGAGCAGCTGACCACCACGGAGTCAGGGAAATCAATCCTACAGAAGTGGTATTAAGAGCCAAACCATGGATGAGTGTTAGCCAGGCAAGGAGAATCTAATTTGCAAGCCTGCAACCACCCATGTGCATAAAATCACCTCGGAGGCCTGTCACAGGGCAGATACATGGGCCTCACCCTCTGAGGCTGACTCATTGGGGCTGGGTGGAGCCCGCCTCTGCTGTTACCCCACCTTTGTGCTCCTGATAAAAATGTTCCAATGCCCTTTCAGTACATTGTTCTCTCTTGTGATCTTCAAGATAAACCAATAAAGAGACCCATCAGGTATTCTTTGTGTCATTTCCGAGAAGAGGAAAGTGAGGCTTAGGGAAATGAAGTGACTTTCTCCCTGTCACCCAACCTGCTGGAGGTGGCGCTGGGGCTGGGCCAGGCCCCGCCCACAACCTGAACCCCAGGCCCCTTCCTCCTGCATGCGGCCTTCTGTGTGGGTTTTTTTTTTTTTTTTGTACTTCAGGTGAAGGCTTACAAAACAAATAGTTTCGCATGAAACAGTAGTACACATATTGTTTTATGACATTGGTTAACAACCCCACAACATGTCAACCCTCTAATTTCTCAACCTTTTCTTCTGGTGAAAAAACACATAGCCAAAGATACACCATTTCAAAAATTTCTACATGCACAGTTCAGTGACATTGACTACGCTCTTCCAATTGTGCTGTTATTCTCACTTAAGATGAAGGCTTACAGAACAAAATAGTTTCTCATTTAACAGTTACTACAAATGTTGCCCTATGACAATGGTTAACAATCTCACAACACATCAACAATATCCTTACCCAACCTTGGGTTCCCTATCACCAGCTTCCTTGTACCCTTCTGCTTTCTGGCCCTTGTCACTGGACTCCTGTACCTCGTTAGTCTCATTTGGTTTTACGGGGCTGTCCACTCCCAGGCTGAACAGTGAACCTCAGAGATAACTTCACCACTGAGCTAAAAGGGTGTCTGGGGGCCATACTCTTAGGGTTTCTCCAGTCTCCTTTAGGCCAGTAAATCTGGTCTTTTTTTTGTGAGTTAGAATTATGTTCTACATCCTTCTCCAGCTCTGTCCAGAACCCTCTATTGTGATCCTGGTCAGAGCAGTCAGTTGTGGTAGCCGAGCACCATCTAGCTGTACTGGACTCAGTCCGGTGGAGGCCTTGGTAGCAGTGGACAGTTAGTCCTTCGGACTGATCTTTTCCTTGTATCCTGTTCTCTTCATTCTCCCTTGCTCCCGAAGGGATGACACCAGTGGAGTATCTTAGATGGCCGCTCACAGGCTTTTAAGACCCCAGACACTACTCACCAAGGTAGAATGTAGAGCATTGTCTTTATAAGCTGTGTCATGCCAGTTGAGCTAGATGTTCCCCGAGACCATGGTCCTGTGTGGGATTTTTTTGACGCCCCTGAGTAGAGTGCTACTCCCCACTGCTCTTTTCAGTCAGGAAGAGGGGAAGAAAAGCAGGAGGGGAGTGCCTGGAAGACCTGGAAGCAGCCAGGACTGCCACTTCACTTCTCTGAGCTTGTTTCTGCCTCTGTGAAGTGAGGGATAGGACCTGGTTTACAAACCTCTTCTCTGTCAGAGAAGCACTCTTTCCAGAGCAGTCTTACACGTGAGTGTGGATCACCAGATCAAAGCCGGGCTGCTGTGGTTGCCTCAGGGGAGGGTTCCAGGAGCCTCTCCACCCTCTCCCTGCTCTCAGGCACTCGGACAGCCCAGTTTGGAAACCCCAATGATTGCTAAACCCCTTGCGAACGAGTGTATTCTAACTTACAGCAATCTTATAGGACAGAGTAGAACTGCCCCATAGGGTTTCCAAGGAGCAGCTGGTGGATTCAAGCTGCCGACCTTTTGGTTAGCAGCCAGCCTCTTAACCATTGTGCCACCAGGGCTTCTAATGATTGCTAAGCAGCAGGATATTCCTTGTTTGGGGCTCACAGGGCTTCTGCCCCCAGCAGGCAGGTGACCTTTTGCTTGAGGCTGCACACGTAGCTTCAAGCTGAGCAGTTTTTGTCTGGAGAAGTAGAGTGGGAGGGGCTGTCTCTGGGAGTTCAGGGTGCCTGGAGGGTGAAAGGAAGGGGGGAGGGTAGAGCTGGGCATTTAGGAAATAGAAGAATTGGCTGCCAGCCCTAGCTTGAAGTAAGCGTATTCAATGTGGACCCCATTCTGTTGCCTGTTTCCTACACGAAAAATCTTACATCCTGTTCAGCGCAGAGGAGACATTTGTTCAAGATGAAATAGAGCTGTTCTTAAAAGTAGAAAGGGGAACAAAGCACCCTGGGAGGGCCGCCTGCCCCAGCGGAGGGTTCACTCTGCTGAGCCTCCACATTTTCAAGAGTGGCCTCCATAAAAATCCCATGAACATACACTCCAAGCCCCAATACAGCAGCACTGCACACGAGTGTGTACACATGTGCAAATGCTCATGTTCACACACTGTGGTGCCTTGCACCCGGGTGGCCACTGGTACATCGCTGACAGGTACCAGAATGGGCACATCTTGACCGGTGTGGGGGAAACTGTCTTGACTGGGCCCAGAAGGAGACATGGCATGACATACACTGAGTGCTCTTCCACCTGGAATTTTAGAAAACACTGAGTGGTTTTGGTGGAATAGTTTGACCTGATTCTGCTACGCTGTCTTTATTCACCAGAGGAGCAAAGACGATACCATTAAGATCCATTTGAATTGGGGGTGCCGCCTGTTTGCCAGCTCTTGGTTAACAGCCAAAGGTGCCTGCTCTAAAGTTGCATCAAACCAAGTGTCTTGTCAATGGAGGTGAACAGAAAAAGCCACCAGCTGTTATCAGCAGGAAGGAAACTTTGGCTGCGCCTTGTGCAAGTAGAGGTTTGCAGTGGGTGATTCGTGTGAATGGGCCCCCCTGTCAGAATCGGGAGTTTCTTTTTCTCTGGCTTTGCCTGATTAAGGCCACTGCCTGTAGCCAGCCAGAAGAAGCATCATACTTTGTCCCAGCCCTTGGTAAGCATTCTCTGGAGGGGTAGGGATGAGACCAACCCGGGTGAAACCCAGCAAAAGCCTGTGTGTAATTCAGAGTTTAGCAATGCAGGACGAAGGGGAGCAGTGAGGAACAGAAGTTCAGACGGGGCTTCTCGAAGGAGCCAGTCTGTCGAGACTGATAGAAATTAGAAAAGAGGCAGAACAAAAAGTTGAAGGGCCTGTTAGTAATAGCTGACATGTATTGAGCATTTGCTGTATGCCAGGCACTGAACAGAGCATGTTACTTGTCACAGAATTCTCAAAATAGTCATAGGAGGTAGGTGCTGCCACTGTTTTTACTTTACAAATGTGGAACCTGGAGTTTAGGATGATTAAATAATTCTCCCAAAGCCACACAGCTAGTGAACGGTACAGTGTGGTTGAAGTCAGATCCATCCGAGGCCAAATGCCTTAAACACCACACTGTGGAGCAACAGGCTGAAATCCACAAACTGAGTCACCCCCACCCCCTTCAGGGACTGGCTAGTGTGGTGGTCTAAAAACCAACCAGTTGCTATCAAGTCGACTCCGACTCATGGCAACCTCATGTGTGTCGTAGTAGAACTGTGCTCCTTAGGGTTTTCAACGGCTGATTTTTTTCAGATGTAGATCGCCAGGCCTTTCTTCTGAGGCACCTCTGGGTGGACTCGAACCTCCAACCTTTCGATTAGCAGTGGAGCATGTTAACCATTTAGACCACGCAGGGACTCCACTGATGGTCTAGGAGCCAGTTTTTCTAAATGTTGCTGTATCCTGCTCATTGCTGCAGTTTGTTTTCCATCTGCCCTCCTCAAATGCCAGTGCTCCTTCAGGCTCCTGGAGTCAACAGAGCCCTTGCTGTGGCTATAATCCGAGTTGTTCCATTGCTCGATGGTTTGGGTAGTTGTCAGTTGGTCATAGCTAATGTGTGATTCTTACATAAAGACCCTTATTTTAAGGAGTGACCTGTGTTGACCCATCTATTACAGACCACAGTCATTGACTACGTGAAGCCCTCAGATCTCAAGAAGGACATGAACGAGACCTTCAAGGAGAAGTTTCCGCACATTAAGTTAACACTTAGCAAAATAAGGAGGTAAGTGAGGATTGTCATCCACTTGAACTTTCCCTTCAGACCCCTCCCCAGCATGCATTTAAAGCTCATACTGTGTATGATGGTTCTTTCTTTTCTTCCGGGGACATGACACCTGGTCCTATTCGGTAAAAAGAGGCTGGTCTGATGCTGGCTGACCTGTGCCTGGATGTGGTAGGAGAGCCAAGGGAAGCAGACAGGAGCTCAAGCTCATGACATGGACTTGGCCTGGATCTGGGGGGGGGGGTGTTCCTTTGGTGAAAGACTCATTTCATTCTATTGCTGACTCACCAGTTCATTAAGATTTATGTTACTCAAAACTCAGAATAGGAGAAGCCTTAAGTTCACTGCTGCCTCAAATGTAGACAAAGCAAAAGAGAAAACAGTTGGTATAGCAGGGTTTGGGATAACCCTTCACACTCAATAGTCTGTCCAGAGATGACAGTCAAGCCCAATCTTTATGCAGTCACCAGTACAGCCCCAAGTCAGGTGCATACTTCCCTTACAGCTGATGGAGTCAGTAGTCAAACTATGGGGCCGAGAGGAGCTGATTTGTTTCTCTGTGCCACAACAGCACAATTTGTGTCTGTGTGTGTGTGTGTGTGTGTGTGCGTGTGTAGTAATAGAAGCTAAACTGTACACCAGCATGATGTTGAATATGTGCCAGTGTTTACACAAGTGTGTGTCCTACTGCTGATTTGATTCTGGTATACCCCCAAGCCATAGAGGTGAGAAAAATAAGGTCTTCACACTTTGTTCATTGCTAGATAGCTTTCTTAAGTACGCTGGTTATTATGCTCTTAACATTAAACCATTTTTGCCCTAGTTCATGAACACAACCAATATTTGGCAGAGCTTATGTCAAGTACCTAATTCTTTCCTGGAGTGATTGAAGTTCCCCAAATGGTTTCCCTCTTAACTTTGGAAGCTCTGCTCCTAGTTCCCAGTCAACCCTTGGGCACTCACTTCTTTTGTCATGTTCATTAGGGCTCTGGCTAGTCCACGTCCTTACCTGGTCTGCTCTTCCTTCCCACACCATCTCTGGAGGTGGAGATGGTGGCAGCACTGGGCTGCTGGGACTGGGGCAAGAAGAAGAATAAATGTGGTCAGTATAACTTGAATGACAGAGAAGAGCCAAAGCCCCAGCCCATAATGCAACTTTCACACTGTAATCCCATTCCACTTCACCCTTCTGGGAATGGAAAAGAGAGTGCTTTCCAGCTGGGATAGCCTGTTTCTCGTGTGTTCCCTGAAACGGCAAGTTCTAACAAGACTTAGTCCCTCCTCCCTGTCTTTCTCTAGTCTGAAGCGAGAGATGCGGAAGCTTGCTCAGGAGGACTGTGGCTTTGAGGAGCCCACTGTGGCCATGGCCTTTGTCTACTTTGAGAAGCTGACCCTCAAGGGAAAGCTAAACAAACAGAACCGGAAGCTTTGTGCTGGAGCGTGTGTGCTGTTAGCAGCCAAAATTGGAAGTGACCTCAAAAAGCACGAAGTCAAGCATCTGATTGATGTAAGTGGCCCCATGTGCTGACGGCTCGGCCAGCACACATTACAACCCAGGGTTGTCTCAGTGCAGCCTGGCCTTGAGACCCTGCTGCAGAGGGCTCTGAGACTTAGCGGTGATAGGGGTGAGGGCTATGAAGTCATTCGTCCATGATAGATCCAGATGCCATGTCTCAGGTTGTTTCAGAACGGAGGGGCAAGACTGAAGATCCTCAGCATGGAGTCTCACCCTAAAACTCCATTTTCAGAAACTATGAAGGGTGAAATGATTCCCACAGCTGCAGATGTCACTGTAATTGCAAGGGAGCTGTGGGCAGTGTGGCCCACAGAGCATCTGTCAGACACATTGGCTCAACAGACCTCAATGTCCCTGCTGCCCTGGCTGCTGCCTCCTTGGGGAAGGGTGTGGATTTGGTTTGGTGGTCATCCTTTGAAAGGAGAGCCCGCATCAAAGCAAGGAAACACTGACCTCCTTGGATTGATATATGGATGCCCCCATGTCCATCTATCTACTTGTCTTCATTGGCAAAAGAGAACTCAAGGCAGAAATGGAGCTAATGTCAATGCTACATACACACACACACACACATACACACACATAGTGTTCTGTAGGTCAGTGCTTTTCTGATTTCAAGCAGAAATGGTACAAAATCATCTAGCTTGTACAATAAATACTTTCAGGAACATGGAGGTGATCGTTGGACACCAAATCTGTTGAGACTCAACAGGCTTATGTAGATAGTTGCTGAACTGGAGAATCTTTAGAAACAACAAATAATAATAAAAATTATAAATGGTATCCTACACATTTAATCATAGTTGAGTCATGTACCCCAGAGCAAATCTAATCGTATTAATGCAGAATATAATGGTGATCATTGACAAGCTGTTTGCAGTAGCAGTTAACCTGATGCAAGAGCCCAGTTAAAATCTGAATGCAGTCACCAGTTACTCAGTTGGCTAGATTTATTATTATTATTAAGCTAAAAAGCTGAGTCAAAGCCAAACTAGAATGTGCCCTAGCAAAAACTAGGCCTTCCCTCCCCAGCCCCAGCCTGATAGGTCTCCATTCCTGGCACCAGCAGCCCCTGCACTGAGATGGACTGAAAACGCAGCCCACGTGGTGAGGCCTCACGCCTGGGCTCTCAGCCCCGCTCAGATGCGCACTCGCTGTGTGACGCTCTGAAATGAGGGGACCCGCTCTAGGACTTGAGTCCCTGCCCGTAAAATGAGAAGATTAAACACATGATCAGTTCACCCAGTTCTGAACTCACTGCATGACCATCTATTACTGTAGATGATTTGCTATATTTTTAGTCTCAGCAGTAAACCTGAAGAGCCTCGTTGTAACAACGTCGAGTTTTGAATCCAGTTAGATTTGAATCTCAGCCCTGGAAATTTTCCTGTCTGTGTGACCTTGGGCAAGTTAGTGAACCTCTTATAGCCTGTTTTCTCATCTGTAAAATGGAGATAAAGTCTGACATCAGCCTCATAAGGTTATTGGGAGGATTAAATGGAATCGTGATGTATGGGATAGTCCCACAGACTGTGGGCCCTGGGGAAGGTTCTCCTTTCACCTTTGGGACTGAGGGCAGGAAGCATACCTGGTACCTCCCTTTCTTCCTCCACAGAGTCTTGACTGTAGTGAGTTTCTCTGTAAACACTCACCGGCTGATGGATAAAGATGTTAAACCAAAACCAAACCCATTGCCGTTGAGTCAATTCCAATTCATAGCAACTCTATAGGACGCAGTAGAACTGCCCTGTAGGGCTTCCAAGGCTGTAATCTTTACGGAAGCAGACTGCCACATCTTTCTCCTGCGGAGCAGCTGATGGGTTCAGATTGTCAACCTTCTGGTTGGCAACCGAGCACTTTAACCTCTGTGCCACCAGGGCTCCTTGACAAAGCTGTTACACACAGAGAAAGCCTAGGGTTTTCATTTCAAAGCTAAAATGCTTTTGGTTTTCTTCAACTTTTGTTGCAGAAACTGGAAGAGAAGTTCCGGCTGAACAGACGAGAGCTGATCGCCTTTGAGTTTCCAGTGTTAGTGGCCTTAGAGTTCGCCCTTCATCTGCCGGAGCATGAAGTCATGCCCCACTACAGACGCCTGGTCCAGAGCTCCTAGCACAGGCCCGTGGTGGGGGGCGGGGGGCGCCTGCCTGGGAGGCGAGGGCTGCTTCCTCTGAGCCTGTGGAGCCGCACTCACTACTGGAAATGCAAAAACAGAACTCAGAATGCCACACTTTGTTTTTCCTCTCAACGTGTTTTTGTGGAAGCCGTACTGGAAACTTTTTAGGGAGTCTTTCGTCTGGCTAGCCGAGAGGAACTGTGAGCTGTTTACGACTCAGAGTGAGGGAAGAAGGACACCACGCTGAAGATAGCAGGCCCGTGCTGGAGCCGAGGGGTGGCCCGAGGCCCAGCGCAGCCCTCTGTGAGCAAGAATTCCTAGCTGTCCCATCCCAGTCCCCCTTCCGGGCACACACACAGCTTGCAAGTATGGTCCAGGGCCTTCTCTCCAAACCTGTTCCAACTCAGAGTGTGAGGTGGTAAAGAACAGAAGGGGAGAGAATTTGCAGAAGTTGGGGGAGAGCTTTTAAGTATCCCCTCACTGTGTCAAAAGAGTGTGCCAATCTATTTTTATACCAGCTACTGGAAGTGCACTTTCCCCTGGGGTGTGGGGATGAGTGAGTTGGAGTGAGTTGTGTGTATGCGTGCATGTTTGTGTGTGTGAGTGAGTGAGGGTACTGTATCAGCCCTAGTGCCCCAGAGGCAGCCCCTGCATTTATAGTGCAGACCTCAGCCCAGGGTCAAGAACCAGGCTCCCCTTCAGCAATTATTTCTAGATAATTTCTGGATAATAATCACTCCGTCAGCTCCAGACTGCTAGACACCCTCTGCCCCTTACAAAATGACACTGTTTCTGTTACTGCTACTACATCCCATGGGACAAAGAAAATAAGTTTTCATATCGGACCCAGTTGTGTGGAACAGGCGTTGCGTGTGGGTTTGGGTGACCTTTCTATCTTCCGGCCGGCGTGACACCGTGGGCAAGTCTTCGACCGTCGCACTTTGCTGCTGTGGGGGCAGGGGGAGTGGCGCTCCACGGTGTTCACGTGCTCTATGTTAGAGCGCTTCATGAGCACATTTATTGTGCTATATGTAAAAAAAAAAGTTTTATAAAAATCAAGAGTATAGTCAAGACCATGACTGGTGATTTGAGGCTTTGGACAGCTGAGAGAAACTGTGTTCTGAGCTGAAGCTGAGTCAAGGAGGCAGTGGCTCGTAACAGGATCACCGTGTTGCCAGGGCTCAGTGCAGAGTTTCAGTCAGCTGGTTCCAGCAGTAACGGTGACTTGTGCCGACTCGCTAAGAGAATCTGTACCTGAAGCAGGTCACCACGCAGTCACCTCCCAGCACGAGAGGGGTGCCGGCCAGGGGTTTACCTGACTGAAGAAAGCCTTCTGTGGCCATGTAAAAAGAGAATTAAAATATTTTCTTGTTTTATATATACATGTATGTGTATACACATGTATCCTACCAGCAGCCCTTTGCCCTGCGTTGCTCATTCATCTGCCACCGTTTTCAACTCTGATTTGTCACAGAATCAGAGTTTTTCACATCACCCCAGAGAAAGGGAAATGGGGAGACAAGTGTATTTAGCAGAGCTTGAAAGAACCAGATCGTCATATAAAACAACAATAACAAAAAAAAAAAACCCGTTGCCGTCGAGTTGATTACAACTCATAGCGACCCTATAGGACAAAGTAGAAGTGTCCCATAGGGTTTCCAAGGAGTGCCTGGTGGATTCAAACTGCCAATCTTTTGGTTAGCAGCCGATCTCCTAACCACTGCACCACCGGGGCTCTGATCGTCATATAGTATGGAGAAATTCAAGCAGCAGCTGGTGAGAGACAAAACAGAATACTTGGCTTCTTGGAGTCTTAGATTTAACCTAGTATAGTCCTCAATATTTTGCTAACATTCCCTTTCCGGAATCAGTTGTAAGACAGCAGTTTGCGTTGGGAGGATATATGATCTCTCTGGCTGATCTAAAGCTAACCAGTTGTCAGGTTGACTCTGACTTATGGCAACCCCATGTGTGTCAGAGTAGAACTGTGTAGGATTTTCAGTGGCTGACTTTTCGGAAGTAGATCACCAGGCCTTTCTTCCAAGGTGCCTCTAGGTAGATTCAAACCTCTGACTTTTAGGTTAGCAGTCGAGCGCTTAATGATTTGCATCACCCAGGAACTCCAAGGCAGGCTAGCTGGTATTTAAGGGGCACCTACTGTTGGAGCCTTGGTAGTGCAGTGGCTAAGAGCCTGGCTCCTAACCAAAAGGTTGGCAGTTTGAATCCACCAGCTGCTCCTTGGAAACCTGTGGGGAAGCTCTCTGTCCTATAGGGTCACTATGAGTTGGAATCAACTCAACGGTAACAGGTAAGGCAGACTGGGAAGCACAGAGTATTTAAAGCATCCCCATCACCCATGCCCTTGGGCCCAGATGAGTGGACGATATCTGTCCACCTTGCATTCCTCTGACGAGCCGCCCTGGCTGCGCAGCACCCCTCGGCGCCCTGGTGAATGCCCAGCGGGAGCCTTTCCAAGGAGCAGGGCCGCTGGCATCTAGAAATTGCCAGCAGAGCTCCCCACTGTCCATTCACCTGAGTCTCCTGCCAAGCACAGGGGGCACCGGTGCAGGACACAGGCCACCAGCCCAGATGTGGGGAAGAAGCCTGTGTCTTTCCTGTGTCTTTAAAATCAGGCTACTATTCTTGGGTTTAGGAGGATTTGTGTTCGTTTTGTTTTTAAGAAGCCCTGGTGGCGCAGTGGTTAAAGCAGTTGTCTGCTATCCGAAAGGTCAGCTGTTAGAACCCACCAGTGGCTCCACGGGAAAAGAAGTGGAGTCTGCTTCCGTAAAGATTACAGCCTTGGAAACCCGATGGGGCAGTTCGGCTCTGTCCAATAGGGACTGCTAAGAGTTGGAATTGATTCTATGGCAATGAGTTTTGGGGGTTTTTTTTTTGTTTGTTTTTTAGCGTTTATAAGATGGACTCAAGTTACTGGTCCTTTTTTTTTTTTTTAAGACTCCTTTTAATTTTAAGCTCTATATTTGGCCTGTGAGTTTATTGGTTTCAATTTAGTTGCAGGGGTGCTGGGAGTGAAAACATTCTGCTAAGACATCTTTTGCTTGTCCATAACACCAGCTCTCTAGTAGCAGAGGAGGATGTGAAGGAGGATGGTGAGAGACACAGGTTGCTGCCAGAGCTGCCTTTGTAATATGCATTCTAGAAAATTCCCCCAGCCTTGGGCTTCTGGGAGCCTGGTGGTGAGGACTCAAGGAGGCAGTCTGAGCCGCTCAGCAGGCTTGTTCTAGAAGACCATAAGGCCCGACCCTTCAACTGTTCGCCACAGAGGGCAGGTCCAGCCCCCTGCCAAGCCCTGCTCCCACCCCAGCTGCCCTGAAGTCTACCAGTTCTCTCCTTGCACAAATACTTGTGAAGAATCTCTGCCACACCCTCCTAGCGACAGCATTGGTTCTGCCTAAACTGGTTTCCCCAGAGCTGGCCTGGGAGGGGCTGAGGGTTGGGGCAGGTCTCCAATCCTCCCAGCAGCCCTGACTGTTAAGTCAGATAACAGCTGGGAACCAGCCCATAGAAAGGTTGGGGCCAGGGGAGGGGCTGCCTTTGGGAGGAAGCAGGGACAGTGGCAGGATGTGCCGTTCAGCAGGGGTGGGCCCATTGCGCGCCCCTGCCTGGGCTGGGCTCTGGTCTTGTCCCTTCTTCCCTCCAGCCTGTTGGGCACTTCAGCACCCATGGACTACAGACAGCTCCAGTGTCCCCACCCTTGTGGACTGAGCCTTAGCCAGCCTGCTGACACTTGAGTAGAAGTCATTACTTTTCCTCCTTTTTCCACCCTAATAAAACCTATATTGAAACAGGAAATCTATACCAGGCACAGCTTGGGGCCGTTACGTACTCAGATCATCACTCAAGTAACATGCCCAACCTTACTGATTTGGGAGCGGGGAGGCTTGAAGCTGCTTCCCTTCCTCCTCCTCACTCCTCCCTGTCCCCTCCATCCCCCAACAGCAAATAAAACTGTTCAGTGCAATTGCTGCCACGTTCTTTATCTCCCCCAGGCATTTCTGGTTCAGTGCTAACCAGCCCTCCACTAGCCCTGGCCACCTCAGATAACTCCATTACATAAAACCAAACCCATTGCCACTGAGTCAATTCTGACTCCTAGTGACCCTACAGGACAGAATAGAACTGCCCCATAGAGTTTCCAAGGAGTGCCTGGTGGAGTCAAACTGCCAACCTTTTGGTTAGCAGCCATAGCTCTTAACCACTACGCCACCAGGGTTCCAACTCAGTTACATACACCCTGCGATTTGTAAACGAGGGGAGGTTGAAGAACAAAATACACTTGAGCCAGGTAATTTTGTTACCTGTAATTGTGTAATCTGCCAGCCAATGAAAGTCCTCCAAAGGAAGCACTTCATAAGGGAGATCCCCCCCACCACCATGGCAGCCTGAGCTCACCGTCCTCGGGCTGCCTTGGGAGTTTGGTTAAGGAAGGTGCTGGCCAGGTCAAGGCAGGGTCGGGGTTGGGGTGGAGCGGGGATAGTGCTGAGGGCCAGAGGAGCAAACACCGAGAGTGTAAATCTGGAGACCGGTAGTTAACACCAGCTTGAACAGCAGAGCAACTGCACAGCAGAACAGAAGTGACAAGATCAAAGGCATGATCCAGGTTCTGCATACACACACCAAGCCAAGGGACCCAATCCAGAATGAGAGGATACCATCTCAAAGAGCCCCTACCCCCAGAAAGGACCAATTGGACTTCAAAAGGCTTCTAATTGATACTCCAGAAAGTCTAAAAATGTAGGGCTAGTTAAAACATAGATGCCCCTGGCCAGTACTGCACTTTTATATGTAGGATCTCAAATCTTGGAACTACCATCTTGCTACTCAAAGTGTGGTCCGTGGGCCAGCAGCATCAGTACCCACCAGGGACTTGTGGGAAGTGCAGAATCTGCATTTGAACAAGATCCCCTGGTGATGTGTATGCATGTGAGAGTGCGAGGCACTGTCCCTCCAGGTAAGCCTTGTTGTTAGATGCCGTAGAGTTGATT